CAGATCCAAACACAATTGTCTCAAGTGTTCATACAAAAGCCTTTAATCATATGATAAACACACAACCAACAAACGGTGTCCACGTTGGTGATGCAACATCAAACTTTAAAATCTACACACTTGATTGGAATTGGGATAAAATGGAAATGTTTGTTGGGGATGAAGGCAATCCGTTTCAGCAACGCGTTCTCATCTGGGAGAAGCACAATGGTGACTGGACACGATGGCCATTTGACAGAAATTTCTTTGTTCTATTGAATATAGCTGTGGGTGGAGCATGGTAAGTCATTTTATCGTCTCGTGTCGTTTAGTGTGTCTATTAATTTCGGTTTGTTTAGGGGTGGATCGCAAGGAATCGATGAAAACATATTTCCAAGACGAATGGAAATCGATTGGGTCTACTTCTATAAATGGCAATAAGATGGCAAATGGACAGTAAAGTTGTGATTGTGCTCTAATAGAAGATGCGGACTCACATGTCAGTGACAATGGTTCTACTCTCTTGTTTCGTTTTTTATTCACATACAATCAATGACATCTCAACGTTGGATCTTCACTTTTTCTATTAAGTTGCAAAATATACTACTCACTGACATTTCTTCACTATTGACCATTGCTCGATCAAGAACTAGGGGAGAGAGAAGGGCAGATGTTCCCTCTTGTGTAGTGTGTCGATGAGAGAAATAAATCATAGCACTGATTCATATCTGAAAACACCGATGTCACAATCGGAAATAAAGGAAATGAAATATTGTGGATAACAGCATCGGTTCGACAGAGAACACATGAATTTTGGGAAGGTAGGGCCAAACATCATTATTCTCGTCAAGAAGATATTTGCGAGAGGCGAAGAGAAGACCGTGTTTAGAAGAGGACGGGAAGCTAGCGAGGAGAACAATGATCTAAGTGAAAAGCGCTCGCTATAATCTCAAACACGAGAAATATATGGAGATGGGAAAGATATGACTTGACTTTTTTGTAGATGTCTCACTGTCAAGTTCAGAGGACGAAGTGCAAGATTTTTGGATGTTTATGTGATATAGTATATGGAACTTTAGAAGCTCTTCAGGTCATTCCGAATGAAAAAGGAATGTGAATTTATACTAAAATTGTCTCTGATGTTGATCATTGAGATTTGATAACAAGGATGAAGAGCGTGCGCGAAGTCTGATAAGATTTTCTTCAAGTTTGTCTGCAAAAAGAGCGAAGTGACACCTTTTTTCGTCTTCATACGACTGTCCACCATCTGAATATAATGAACAGTTACACAGTCGGCAAAACACAAATACATTCGATGATTACTACTGGCCCTATAGATAGATATATTAACACTTTGGAGCTGATCTGATGAATTAACATTCTATCTCAGTCACCGTGATCACCTACCAGATGAACCAGTGTCATCGTCTCAAAGACCATCTCTAAACTGCTGTGCAAGTGTGGAGACGATCTTCTTCACTATCTACTAGAACATTGTCCCAAAGAACTTGGTAATGTTTTGCATTGTGAAAGCTGTTGAATAGACAATAATGAATGATTGTTCTGTTATTATTGTTGAATTGATCTGCATAGAACAAGCACAACGTCCTCGCACATCTTCTCATCTCATGCTCTATAGATTACCAGTTTCGAGAGATGTGCTTGGCATTCGATCTAAAAAGCACTTAAGCGATAAAGTATCATGCAACGATAATATTAATTTAACATTATATGTGAATTAATAATTGGATCATCTTCTGCAACACGACATTTTGCGTGTTCCACCGGTGTTTTAAGCATTTAAATACGACAAGTTTAATATCTCAGTAATATTTTTTGAGTGATATAGTGAAAATTCCGATGTTAGGTTTTCAGTATCCAGTTTGAGAAGCAGAAGAGAGATCTTGGTGTTTGTTTGCACGAAAAGAAATGCATATGACTTCAAGGCCAGCGGCAGTATTGTTCTTAATTGTGAACTGGAATATGAACTAGAAACTTGCATTTGTGTATTCTAAAAGAAACATAAAATAACCTACATTTCTCATTATCTTTCTACGTCGGAGAAGAAACAAATTATTCTTATCGGTTTTTTTTAGGAAAGGAGGAAACAAGAAGCTGGCGGTTAAGGAACAAACTTTGTGATTTTTCTTCAATGACAAATGTAATCATCTGTCAATATTCACTAATTTATGAGTTCCGTAGAATCGAGTATGTATAGTGAAGTTGAGGCAAAAATAAAATGCAATATTCTTTGAATTTATCAAGTCTAAATTGACTAGATGAACTGAGAGAGCTAATGTTTGGTGTGAAATGATCTTTCATTCAAGTATCTAAGTCATTGTTACGCTGTTCTGTGAATGAATAGTTGAAGAATTTTATACAAATGGAGTAAACGAGTAATTCTGTTTGTTCAGTAGCACTGATCTTTAGTACTCTATGTTAATGCCAGACACAAGTACTTGTAAATGTAATAAGTTTGCCATCGAGATAATAAAATTACAGCAGACTTGAAACCATGAATGAAATCAAATAAAAGACTATACCCTAATTGTTTTTTCACCGTGCACACATCTCCATATTTATTAAAATATGATTAAAAGAAAAAGACTAAAGACATAAAATTAACACCCCTCATCCAAACGCGTGTCGAAGGTAATTGAGCGTGAACGTGTCATGTAAGTCGTTTAAATTTAGTTTTCCAAGATTTTTTTCTTTCTTTCTTTCCGCTAAAACGGTGTTGTTTTGTGATAGACACATATGGAAGAGAGAAAATCTATAGACAAATGTCTTTTTTTTTACATAAAGTTGAAGAGATTGAAAACATTTTTTTTTTCTTATTTTATTCACTAAATGAATCTCTCTCTGAGGCAGTGATTTTCATTTTTGTTGTTTATAGATCACATTTGGGTTCGATAATCGAATATACTGCCCCTTTTTGTTTGCCGATCACGTCGTTACAAACACTTCAACACAGCAGCATGGAAAAAAAAAATTCGATAAGTTTTGACAAATCTTTTTATAAACAGCGAGAAACTTTGGGTGTCATATATATGAATATATATATATATATATATATTCATATATATATTCAAAACAAAAAAAGAAAAATATTTGTAATCATTATGTCTCATATAAGAGACAATGTCTAAATGTTTTTTAAATGGTAAATGGTTCTAGTGATCATTGGAGTAATTGAGAAAATACACGCACATATAAGCATAGGATAAAAAAAAGGGAGAAAAATAGAGAAAAAAAAATCTATCTTTCAATCCCCTTTAGTCGTAGTACACAGAGATAACAATTTTCTATTGCTGCATCCCCACGAAGACACGTATACATATAACTATATATATATCTTTAGGAAATCTGGATCATCAACCTTAAACAATTAAAAAACTGCAAAAAAAATCTTTATTTTCTTTTTTATTCATTTTCTTTTTCCTCTCTTTGTGTTCCTAACATGGATCCTTTATAAAAACTACATGGTCGTTTTTCTTAAGAATATAACACAACAAGAAAAAAAATGATTTAATTACATAAAGTAAAAAACCCATAAAATAATAATATATTATAGATCTTATATGAAATATCTACTTTTTAACAAAAGAGTCAACATTGTTCACATACGTATGGAATCATTCTTCTAATGTTATTATGCTACTCATGACAAAAGTTTATTAATTTTGGCTATATAGACATACGATTTTATTACGATTTGTGGAATGATTTTAATCACTCATATATAACAATATGTATATCGATCTCTTTTACGTAAATTGTTAAATTGAAACATTATGGAACGTATCAATATGCGTGGAAGGAGATGGTCAGATGCGTTACTTGCGAGGTAAGAAACAACAAATTGTTTTCACTTGTTTTTATAGCAGTGTTTTTCTTTAACCTTAGATAATTTGATATCGTCCCTAGAAAAATGAATGTTTTTGATTCTCGGAACTGAAAATATTTTTAGATTTAATCTTGAAATTCATAGTTCTTTTCAATACAATACGAGACAAATTACAAAAATTTAATTATTATGATGCATCTGTGATTTTGCTTTTACATTAAAAACATGAAAACTACGCCATTAGTCTAATTTTAAATACTACTCTGTATTCTTTACATGAGATCATATTACTGTTAATCCCTCTTTTAGTTTAAGTCGTAAGAATATAGAAATAAACAATTTTTTGCCAATATTGCTTGTCATGAAATGTTAAATTATTTTTATTACTTGACTGAATAAGATGGCAAAAAGCAATTGAAAACATATAAAAATTATTTTGTTGAACAGCTTCAAAATCGATCGAAATTCTTATTAGAATAGATAACTCATTACTGATGCGATGAAGCAGATAAAACTATTGATCTTCCCTTAAACACGTATGGTTTCACTCTATGCAAAAAATTCGTTTCATTCGATATTCATATACTATCAAATACATATTTAATGAATCAGACTTAAAACACACAACAAAATTCTACTAGTTTTCAAAATTTCATGCGATTAGTTTAGTATGATGACTGTATAATAGTGCACCTCAAGATACATCTGTTATTTTCAGCTTTTAAACCTGTATGGTTGTTGAGGAAATTAAAAAATGTTTGAAGTGGGCGTCATTACATGACATATATCCAATTAAAAGTTTTTCTTTTACAGAGCTATACTTAGAAAAACGAACTTATTTTTACACATTGAAGAAAATACCAAACTGCGTTTCCTGCGAGAATTGTATTATTTAGAGTAATATACTTTCAGTATTTTGAGTATCTTACAGAACACGGTCAAAATGTCCTTTAGATGTTTAAAATAATTTTATTTTGTAATACAACAATAAATTTGTTTCTGCTCGTATTCTGGAAGAATAAAGCTTAGATTATATAAAAGTTTTTCTTTGTTGGGTTAATTGAAGTTATGTGCCAAGTTTTGTAGCTTCCCTTTCCCTCAAGAAAAGAAATGATGGGTCAATTGTGACAACAGACAAGCAGCTATCGTCACTCAGGGCTGATTATCATGTGCTTAACTAAAACGACGGTTCAGAACTGTATAAAAAGGTCTTGTTATAACTACCTGTCTGACTTTTTATCCATTTCCAAAACAAAAGAAGTTTTTCTTTTTTGTCGTTTGCGAAGATGTTGGTTAAAGCATCCCTTGTCATTTCTAAAAACTATTGATAAGTGAGATGGTATAGAAATTATCTATACATTCTGTCATTCAGACCAGCTTTTACTAAAATTTGACCGAATAACGATGTAGTAGTGATACATTATAGCAGCAGGACTCTATCAGATATCATGGTAAATTAACGGTTCAATTCTTTTTATCATTGTCAGAAGGAAAAAATAAACACAAGAACATGAACTAACTGAGCATTCAGTCTTTTGGAAAGTTTTGGCATTTCAGCCATGTTCTTTAAGTTCAAAGCAGAGGAATATTTTGG